TAAACGAGTCAAATTTTTCCAACAATCCACCTACCTTATGCTACCCTGGCTCTTTACATTTTTTTCTGAGCTTGTAGTTACTATAAGAAGGATTTTTTTTTTTTTTAATGTTGCAGCATATTTAAAACATTAGAATTTCAGCTTTATTTTCTGTTGCTTCAAGGAACATTGATTTTATATAAGCATGTGTTGGTCTCTATAAACCAATAGGACGGAACACCCAGGTAGCATGTATTTCACAGTCACAGCAAGAGTTAAAGATTTTTCTGAATTGAAGACGGAGACATAAAGCATCTTTCCTCATTTCTGCAATTCCTCGGGTCAAAAGGAAATCTAAAACTGCTCCCCTGCAGATCACAAGAGCTGTTATCCTTTCCTGCACGTTGCAATTCTCGACCAGTAAGCCATTCTTGACCAATAAGATCACGAATAGAAAGGCAAGCAAACAATAAAAAAGATTAGCAAACCAAATTTTCTGTTATCGCCCCTTAGCCGGGCAGGCCCTGGGTCTCCATTATGCGCCCTAAATGGACCATGAAATCGAATTTCCCATTGTTGCCCCCACCAATCAGAATAACCTTGCCAGGTCCAACTGAAAATAAAAACACAAAATCAGTCAGAAAATAAAAAGAGGGAGAAATAAAATTAACAAATTCAAAGCTCTATTACATTGGGAATCCTACTGAGAGCCAAAATAAGAGATGTCTTGGCTCAAAGAGCCCATGGGGGCTGGGCAAGGGGTGGTTATGATGGCTCACCCCAGCACTCTGGGAGGCTGAGGCAGGAGGATCACAAGTTCAAACCCAGTCTGGGCAACCTAGTGGCTTAGCAAGACCCTGTCTCAAAATAAAAAAATTAAAAAGAGGCCGGGCGTGGCGACACAGGCCTGTAATCCCAGCACTTGGGAGGCTGAGGCAGGAGGATCATTGCGATTTCAGGACCAGCCTGGGCTACAAAGTGAGCTCAAGGCCAGCCTGAACTGCATAGCAAGACCCTGTCTCAAAAGGACAAAAAAAAAGAAGAAAAAAATTAAGAGGGGCTGGGGATGGAGCTCCGCATGGAGGCCCTGGGTTCAGTCCCCAAGTGCACTAGGCCCAATCTTCCCTTGGTGAGTCTGTGGACCAGGGACCCCCAAGGGTAGTTAAAGAATAATTTCAAAAAGGTAAAATCATGGCCTGTAAACAACCATAAGCAAAGTCATACTGAAGATTTTTTGTTTGTTTGTTTGTTTTTCCGGTACCAGGAATCGAACTCATGACCTTGCGCTTGCCAGGCAGGCAGTTATTAGCTGAGCTAAATCCCCAGCCCCCATACTGAAGGTTTTATTTAACTCATGAATGTTATGACTTGTCTAGGAAACCAGGCCTTTTAGCAAAGACAGATTGGGATCGGAGTGCTGAGACAGACGTGTGAGAGCTGGGTCCTGCCCAGCAGGCTGTGAATCCTTGGAGTTATCTCTCCCGTCAGACAGAACTACTCACATCGCTCTTGGACAAGGTCTACGAGTGGCAGAGTGACTTCGTTTAGTCTGGGTCTTTTCATCGGCCCTGAGCAGCGGCATCCTACAGTCAGGCCGTTTCCCCAAACGTTGCTCGCAGGGTTCACTGTCCACCTTGATGATTTATTTTCTCTTTTGGGTTTTTTGAGATAGGGTCTCACTATGTAGCCCAGGCTGGTCTCACGTTTTTGGCGATCTTCCTGCCTCAGCCTCCCGAGTGCAGAAATGACAGGCATGCGGCACCATACTCCGCTAGGGTCAGATTGTTTCGGGGGCTCTGAAACTGGGGGGAAGGAAAGTGGGAGGGGAGCTGAAGACAACAAATACATGCTCCTTGCGTGCCTGGTCCAGAGCCTTCTCTCTGGGGACGGCTCCCCAACCTGCTTCCTTCCAGGAGGCCAAGTTCCGCTTCCTGGGCAACGAGGAGGAGCTGCAGATGATCTTCGACTGGGTGGACTCGGAGCGGAGGGGCCGCCTGTCCCTGGAGGAGTTCAGTTCTGGGCTCAGTACGTCTGCCCTGGGAGGGCCCCAGGGACCCCTCCGCCAGCCAGGGACTCCCCAGTACCCCCTAGGCACCCCTTTCTGTCCTCTTCCCCACTAACTACTCCTCAGCAGGGTCACCCACCTCCCGGTCCTCACCTGAGGCCAGGCGTGTCCCCTCCTGAGGACAGTACATCCTAGCTTCCGTCCTGGGGACTCTGGGCCCCCCGAGCTGCAGAGGGTGGTGCCTGGGGTAGGGGCTTCCCTGGGGCTGAGCCCCCCTGGCCAGGGCCATGCTGCCACCTACCTCTCGAGATGAGCCTGGGGGGGCCCTGAGAGCCCGAGGTCGCAGAGGAACAAGACCTTTCCGAGTCCCTGCAAGCCGCAGGTCCAGTGCCCGTCTGGCCCAGACCGCTCCAGGCAGCCAGCGTGCTGTGGCCACCCACCTGTTGCTCCAGTTCTGGGGACTGAGAAGCCGAGAACAGAGAGGAGGACTTGGCCTGATGCTGTGGGTGGAGGACAGGGGGAGAGTACTGTCCCAGCAGCCCCAAGGGGGCACCTTCACACCTGGGTCCCATCATGTCACATGGAATAAACTCTGACCCCTGCCAGCCTCACAAGCCCCATGCCACCCAGACCCTGCTCACCTCTCTGGCTCCTTGGGCACCAGGGGTCCCCTCTGTCTTGCCAGCCTGGCTCCTACCCCAGGGCCTTTGCATGTGCTGTGCTCCCTCCCGGACCACTCACTCCTTCTGGTCGTTCATGGCCCAATTTCCTAGCCACCCCCTGTCGCCTTGGAAATGACTGGGTTTATTCTTTTCATTGATTTAGCAAATCTGCTTTACATGGGGGGAGGGGCAGGAGGAAGAAGAGGAGGAAGAGGCGGAGGGAGGAGGGGAAGGAGGATTAATTATCATTGTCATCCGCACTAGAATTTCAGCTCCCCCAGGGCTGGGATTTGGGCTAATTTTGTCACCCACCCATAGCAGACGCTCAGCAAACAGCCCTTGACCGAGCGCAGGGCATTTGTTGGCCACTGTGCAGCCGCTGTGTGACTTCAGTCGGTCTCTTGGCGTCTCTGGGCCTCAGGCCATCTGCGCCATGAGTCCCTTGAGTGGACTCCCCAGCTTGACCCAAGGACGGTGTGAATTCGGCTCTGTATTCGTGCGATAGGCACAGGGATAATTCTTCTCCAAGGACCAGGGCAGGGCCCAGCCACACTCTGTGCCCCTCTGTCCACCAGAAAACATCTTTGGCTCCAGCCTGAGCACCCAAGGGCTCCGCAGGCGGCGGCCACCGCCCTCCCCGCGGGTGTCTGTGACCGCCAGCTTCCCGGCACTGGAGGAGGCCGACTCAGAGGAGAGGGAGGCATTCCTTGCCCTCCTGGGACAGCTGGGGACCGGCCCCTCGATTCCTGAGTAAGGCCACGCCGTGGGGACCTCGCCGGGGGCTGCCAGCCGGGGGTGGGCACCACAGGGCAGAGAGAGCTGCAGTGCTGCCTTGGGCACCGGCATAGGGTGCCCTTGGGGGCTCAGAGAAGGGGCTGTGCTTGGAAAGGCCCCCCAGGGCCACCGGAGGCTGCACTCAGGTCTGTCCCCGCGGGGCAGGATCCTCACCCAGGCTCCGGGGGCAGGGCCGGTGGAGCGGGAGCCTCTCGGCCTGACGCAGCCCCGGGCACTGGTCTTCATGACTTAATTAAATCCATACGAAAGCAGGATTTATCGAGTGCCAACCGTGTGCCAGCCCCCGAGCTGACGCTTTTGTTGAGCAAGTCTCTCACCCCCGGATGCCCTTGCCAGGCGGGTATCAGCCTCCCCAGTTCACAGGGCCGCCCAGAGCGGGCACGGGGCTGGCCAACGGCCACACGCTCGAGTGGGGAAGAGGGGTGCAAATAAGCCCGGGCCGTCCACCTCGCACCCCACTGAGTCGCTGTGGCGGGGGATGGAGAGGGCGCATCCGGGAAGGTCCTGTCTGGTGCCAGCGGGGTTGAGTGGCCCACATGCCACGCGCACGGCTCTCCGCGTTGCCGTTAAAGCTAAGGCGCGGGCACCCCCTCGTCCTGGCCCCTGCGTCCACTCTCAGGGAGAAGGAGATCTGGCAGCTGTGGGGGAAACTGAGGCAGGAGGAGCCCCAGCTGGTGGGCAACCTGGAGGGCTTTCTGGCCGAGATGAGCAGCCGCCTGCAGGAGGTCCGGGCCGACAAGGAGGCCCTGGAGCAGACGCTGAGGAAGTGAGTCGGCGGCCGCTGTGCCCCCTGGCGCGGGGAGGGCTCAGCACCCGTGGGGTGAACCAGGACTGAGCTCCTCGCCCCGGGTGGCTGGTGGAGGACAGGGGACAGAGCGGGTCCCTCCAGCTACCTTCTGATCACCTACGTCACAGAGTTGGGTGGCGAGGCACAGCCCTGCCCGGGGTCTGAGTGACAGGGACGGCAGCAGGGCGAGGACAGGGCTCAGAGGGGCCCCGAAGCCAGCCCAGAGGTGCCAAGGGGCCACCGGGCGCCCTCCCTGTCCCTTGCAGGCGTGACTCTGACCACCACCGCGAGGTGTGGCAGCTGTACGAGGAGATGGAGCGGCAGATCCACCGGGAGAAGCGGCAGCTGCAGGCCCAGGTGGGCCCCTCGCCTGCCCGCAGCGGTGTGGAGGCTGCTGGGCCCTCGGGCTCCCCAGGGCCATGGGGTGGGCGAGCGGAGCCAGGGCCGCTTCCTGTCCCTGCCAGGTCTCGCTCTCCCCAGGGGGCAGCTTCTGCTCTCGGGCCTTACCGTCCTTGCTGCAACAACGTAGGTGCAGGCAGAGGACGCCGAGACCCCTCCTGCTGGGACGCCTGCCCCTGCACCCCGGGCCAGGGTGGAGGTGGTGTGGGGAGGCGCCCAGCTGGAGGGCTCAATCGTCTCCTCCGCAGAGCGAATCCCGGGGCCAGGCCCTCAGTGCGCAGATGCAGGAGGCCCTGGAGGCCAAGGAGCTCGAGGTACAGCGGCTGCAACAGGGCCAGAGCGAGGTGAGTGGCCTGGCCCCCCAGCACCCTCTGCAGCTCCATCTCTGCACCCCACCCAGCCCCGGGGCGTCCTGATGAGAACAACACCCTGAGCCCTTTCCATCCTAAGGCCAAGCAGGGCAGTGCTTGGGGAACCTGTCCTAGCCTCAGTTTCTCCATCTATACAATGGGGGTGACCCATCCATGGCGTCTTCCAGGCTCCATGTGTCCAATGAGGTCATAAATAGGAAGGCGCTGGACAGACGGGACCTAGTAGGTCGCTGTCCACCTCTTGTCTACATTGTCAGCCGAGTGACCTCTTCGAACTTCCCTGTCCCCAGAGGTGTGAGTCCCTCCCTCCCCTCACCTCAGGACTCCTCACCGAGTACCTACCATATGCCCGGCACTGTGGGAGGTTCGGAGGGACACGTGGCCCTGCCCAGAGAGCCGCCATCAATCAGGGGACGACGTGTGATGAGGACCCAGGGCCAGGAGGGGGGTTGGGAGGGGTGGACAGGTGGGGAGTTGAAATGAGCAGCGAGGGAGTCTCAAGGCCTCACTGAGACCGTGACAAGGCATGAAGACCCAAAGGGGTGCGTGTTGGGAAGAGCGCTGGGCCAGAGGGAGCGGCTTGTGCCAAGGCCCTGGGGTACTGCCCTGCAGCCACGATTCAAAGAATAGCAAGCAGACCCAGGGGCGATGCCTCCTCAGAATCCAGAGCCCAGCAGAGTGGGGCAGGGGGCTGTGGCTGGGGAGGGGGGCAGCTGCACATCCTCCCTCCCTCCCTCTCTTCCCCCAAACAGCTGGAGGCCCAGCTCCACAGCCTCAGTGACAGCCACCGAGAGGCCACCTCGGAGAACTTGCAGCTCAGAGAGGCTGGGCAAGACCTGGCCGGGCAGCTAGAGGAGGTGCGGGGGCAGCTGCAGGTGACCAGGGGACACCTGGATGCTGCCAGGGGCCGAGTGTCATGGCAGGTGGAGGAGGAAGTCAGGCAAGTGCTGCCACCTCCAGACTGCACGCAGACAACGTGGCTGGGGTGAAAATGTGCATATGTGCACACACACACACGCACGCACGCACACACGCATGCCTAGTGCAGTGCTGGGGCCCTAGAAACCCGAACACTAAAGCCCGGAAGCATCGGGTGGGCCCAAGATCCCGGAAGGCTTCCTGGAGGAGGCAAGGCTTCGCGTGGCCTTAGGGGAGCAGGGGAGGCCTGGGGCGGGGGAGCCAGGCAGGAGGGCTGTCTGAGCCGGCCTGGGGACTTGCGGGGTGGAGTGACGCTGCCTCCCTGCCCCTCCCCAATTTCACTTCCCACTTCCTTCCCAGTGTCCCGGGAGCGAGCAAGAAGGTCCCAGGCACTCAGGCCGAGGCCTCCGAGGAGGGCCCCCTGCCCGGGCTGTTTGGAGACAGTGACGACTGGAACCAGCTCCTGAGTGGCTTCAGCAGCCCTTGGCAGAGAGCCCTGCAGCTATCCTGGAGCCCACCCCCCACCCCCCACGCTGCCTCAGGACCCCCGACACCCCGAGTGGTCAGGCAGATCTCCATCTCCGAGCCGCACCCTGGGCCGGATCCAGATGGGCCTCCGAGGAGCCCGACAGGGCCGCCCCCCAGCACCCAGGATGGGAAGGGAGAGGACGTGGCCGGGCAGGCCATGGGGCCAGAGCAGCCTGTTGGGCCCGGTGGCCTGGAACCCAGCATCGAGCCGGCAGCTGGACTCCAGGCTGGCTCCCCCTGGGGTCTCCTGGGGGCCCCTGCCAAGGAGTCCGGGAGCCTGGTGGCAGCGGCGCTCAAGGTCCTTGTTCCTGTGGAGGACGCTGGCTCTCGACCCCCTTCCCAGGCTTCCACTGGGCTCAGTGAGCAGCTCCAGGCCTCTGATGACACAGACCCTGGGCCCAGGCCTGCCCCGGCCAAGCAGTCCAGGCAGAGAGACGCCCCACAGGCTGAGGGCGCCGAACCGGGCCTGGCGTCCCTGGGAGCTCTGGTTCCCGCTGAGGGCCTGGAGCCTGTGGGTCAGGCTCCCCAAGAGGTCCCGGAGCTGGGCGAGCCGAGGCTGGCCGGGCAGGATAGCCACCCTGGAGAGCTCAGGGAAGCTCATGGCCAGGTCCCTGGGCCAGAGAGGATGCCAGTCCAGCCCCTCCAGAGTCCTGAGGAGGAGCCCCAGGCTGGGGAAGGAAAAGCAGTAGGCCGAGGCAGGCAGGATCCCAGTTCTGAGCAGGCAGCTGAGGCTACAGAATCCACCCAGCCAACCCCTCTGCCTGCTTCTACCCATGCTGAGCCACTGCAGGCTCTCTTGGCTGTGGCCCCTGCTCGTGGACAGCTGTCCCCCGCAGGGCAGTCTCCCCCCACAGGGGTCCAGGAGCTCCCACAAACCCTTCCCACCCCAGCTGAGCCCAAAGCCCCACCCAGGCCCCAACCTGACACTGCCCAGGCAGAGAGACAGCCAGGCCGCCTTCCACCTGGAGAACCCCAGGCGGAGAGCTGGCCCTCGGCCCCTGGCATGAGCTCCTCCCCAGGGCACCCTGCCGCCACCAGCCAGCCTCAGGCTGACCTCGACTACCTCTTCCACGTCATCTTCCTGGGCGACTCCAATGTGGGCAAGACCTCCTTCCTGCACCTGCTGCACCAGAATGCCTTTGCCACCGGGCTGGCTGCCACCGTGGGTAAGCGCCCCGCCAGGGAGAGGGACCCCAGGGAGGCGGCAGGTTCTGCCATGGCCACGGGCCCTGTATGAGGCATTATTTTATATGGGCGTAATCTTACTATTGCACTAATCGTCTCTAATTACATGTAATTTGCTTTTTCTGCATTGATCTGATTAGCTTATAATGTGCCACATCAACAAAGCACCCCGCAATTTAGGTGCCAGGGCTCACCGGTGGTAAAAGCAGCCAGTCTCCGCCCACGTGGCCATGGACAGGCTGCGGCAGGGCCTGGGTGATTTGCTCATGACCAACCCCGGGCCAGCCTGCATGCCCTGGCAGGAAATCTCCCTGCTGTATCTTACCCAGGCCACGGTGGCAGAGCATGGCTAATTAGAACCCAAGGTTCCTGAGTTCAAGTCCTAGCTCCGCCGAACTTACTAGGGATGTGAGCAAGGGCAAATTATTTAACCCTCGGGGTGAGCGTTCTGTGGCTGTAATAAATACCTGAGATAACGAACTTGCAGGGAGCAAAGCTTTCTTTGGCCTCGCTGTCCCGGAGGTCTCAGCCCATGGTTGGCGCCCCATCGCCTATGGGCCTGTAGCAAAGCAGCATATGGGAAAGCAAAACTGCTCACCTCAAGAAAGGAGGGGCTGGGACCCCACATTTCCCCTCCAGAGCACCCCTGATGACCCGAAGACCTATCTTCACCTCCTAAACTTCCCACTACCTCCCGATCGCACCGAGCTGGGGCCCAGCCTCCAACACGTGGGTCACTTCAGACCCGAACTGTACTGCCCCAGTCCTAACTAAGGTCCTCACCTGCAGCACGAGGACAACAGTAAAGCCGACTTCCGGAAGTGGTGGAAGGGTTGAATTCACATCAGGCTCGAAGAATAATATGCGGCAGATTACAAGTGCTCAGTACATGTTAGCTGTTCTTATCAAGGAAATATTTGATCATGTCTAATTCAGTGGCTTATGCAAATGAAGCATAGAGCCTTTGCTCCCCAACAGTGTCAGGTGATGTGGCCGCAGAATCCAAGTTAGGGCTTTGGAGGGACAAAGACAGTGTTTTGTGTCAGGCCAGCGAGTGTGCCCAGTGGGGACAAGGGCCAGGCGGGTGGCCTAGGACTGTACTCATCCAAGAGAGGCCTGGGTCAGGCCCTCATGCTTGTAACCCAGGGCCACCTGCCTTCGAAGCCCAGCCCCCATGCCGGAAGTTGAGCCCTTTTTGGGGTTCAGCAGGGCGCTCGCCATGGAGCTGATCATTTAAAACAACAGATTCCTGAGAAGGGGAAAACCACCAGGCATCCTGTGCTCTAGTCTTAGCACCATGGGGGGGGGGGAGGTGGAGCCGGCAGGAGCAGAGGACAGTGAGTTCAAAGAGCCGTGGGAGTGTGGGGTCTCCGACGTGGTAGCTCTGGAAGCGGAGGCTCATGGGTGTTAGAGCTGAAGTTCCTCGGACCGGGGCTTCTCAGGACCTTCAGGAAAGAAGGCAGAAGGGCAGTTCTGTCCTGCTTCCCTGCTTTGCAGGGATTAGGCTTCTTTCGGGGAGTCCCGTGTGCGGGTCTGCAGCAGGCAGCAGCAGGGGCTGGGGGGAAGGTGCACCCCAAGGACCCCAAGCTTCCCCTGGGATTTTACTTTTATCTCCATGTTCCTGGGGACAAAAAGGATCTGATGGCGGGTGTGGTAGTGCATACCTGTAACCCCAGTACTGAGGAGGCTGAGGCAGGAGGATCACTTTGAGTTCAAGGCCAACCTGAGTTACATAGTGAGTTCAAGGCCAGCCTGAACTACATAGCGAGACCCTGTCTCAAAATCTTCCAACCAAAAAGAGTCTGGAACTGCCATCACAGGAAGGGGTGGGCCTGGCAGGAATGGGGACCGTGTGATCACAAAAATGGGCTTGAGACTGTCACAAAGCTACATGAAGAAAGGGTTCCTGGGTTGTGTGAGGCATAAGCAGCGCTGTGCAGGTGGGGGTCCACGGCACCTGGGCAGGGTGTGGCTGGTAATCTAAGCGGCCTCTCGGAGGAAGTGGGCTCTTGGGCCCAGGAGGAGGGATTTGGAGAGCAGAGGGGGAGCCCAGTAACCAGGCTGCCTCCCCCGTCAGCTGGGGTTGGGGACACGCGTGTACATGGACAGGCTCGGCAAGACACCCTGGGTGGTAACGTGTGTCTCCCCTCTGTGTTCCAGGAGTGGATTTTCGGGTCAAAACCCTGCTGGTGGACAACAAGTGCTTCGCGCTGCAGCTGTGGGACACGGCTGGCCAGGAGAGGTGCTGTGTGCTTCGCCCTCAGGGACCTGGGCTGCAGAGGGCCCAGGGGTGGAGGGAACCGGGCGGGAGGCCACCAAGGGCCAACGAGCGGCCACACCCCAGGGTCCTAGGCACAGGAAGGAGGGCAATTCAAGGCCATAGATGCAAGCCAGGTGTGGTGGCGCACGCCTGTAATCCCAGCACTCGGGAGGCTGAGGTGGGAGGATTGTTACGAGTTCGAGGCCGGTCTAGGCTACAAAGTGAGCTCCAGGCCAGCCTGAACTGTAGACCGAGACCCCGTCTCAAAGAGACTAAATAAATAAATAAATAAATAAGGCCAAGGACGGAGGACAGGGGCCCGGAGTGGGTGGAGGTCGCCTCAACACTGCCATCAGGCAATAGCAAGCGGGTTGCGGGTCCTTCCAGACACCCTGGCCTTCCATCCACCCGAAGACTTTGTGATCAAGGCTCAGAAAAGACCTATTTTCTGACTGCGTCCATTTCTAAAAGCTCATGCTGTGGATCAGCTCGTTATGACTAAGAACAAGGCACCGGGACCGTTCCTGGCAGCAGTGTTTGTGTGACTCAGATGCCCACCTGCAGGGGCCCTTGGCTACATTCAGGCAATGAGCACACTGGAGCTGGGAAGTCACAGAAAGGCCTGGGGACCTTCCTCCTGTACCCAGAGGGAAAGAGTCCTCAGACGGTGAGGCCAGAGGCTTTCTGGCGGTGCCCGGGTGCCCTTGGGTGCCTTTTGAAACCTAAGCCATGAGAACTGTTGGTCAACTTGCACAGGGCGTGACCCGGGCCAGAGAGGCAGGGCCGGGGACAGGGTGCTGTCCAGTGACTCACAGGACTCTCTGGGCAGGTACCACAGCGTGACGAGGCAGCTGCTCCGCAAGGCGGATGGGGTGGTACTCATGTACGACGTCACCTGTCAGGAGAGCTTTGCCCACGTGCGCTACTGGCTGGACTGTCTGCAGGTGAGTAAGTGGTGACTGCAAGGTCCATCCCAGTTTTTGGAGTCAAGAGGGAGCTCGTATCCTGTCCACTCCTCCCAGGATTACAAATGACACAACAGTCCTAACACTGCCACCACCCACGGAGGTCATGTGAATGGATGAGCTGGGAGAGCAGCAGTATGAAAAAACGACAACCACACAGTACCACCTCTAAACCAAACTGCTTCCTTTATCCTGTGAGCGAGCGTTTCTCTTTCACATATAGCAGCTGTTTGTGATGTTTTCCTGCTAAAACCAGGGATGACCTAGTGCTACCCTAGGTGACAATGCCTTTGTTCCCAGCCTCCACGTCCTTCTCCCACACACTTAGCACAAACCTGCCGAATTCTACCGTGGGTATGAGCACAGCTTGAAGCTGCATTAGCGTGAGTTCCTTAGTCTAGATGAAGAGGTGCAAAAGCAGAAGGAGGGAGCTGGTTCTGGGATCTGGCAGGACCTAGATTTGAACCCCAACTTTGCCACCCCAACTCTGTGATTTTGGACAAGTGACTCAACTTCTCTGAACTTCCAATCCCTGCCTCCCCCATGGGAGAGTGGTGTAAAAATAAGCAAAGGCAGGAGCAACCCAGGAAGGCTTCCTGGGGGCGGGGGCGGGGGCAGGGGTGACCTTGGAAGCAAGTGAGGTGCTCGCAGGGAGCGAGGGACTCACTGCAGATGGGGGAAGTGACCCAGGTGAGAAGGACTCAGAGCAGGCCGGACATGGCCAGGGACGCACCAGCCGCCCCCACTGAAGCGCCGGGCCTGTGTTCCGTGCGCAGGACGCAGGGGCGCAGGGCGTGGTGCTCCTCCTCCTGGGCAACAAGATGGACTGCGAGGAGGCGCGGCAGGTGCCCACGGAGGCCGGGCGGCAGCTGGCGCAGGTGAGTGGGCTCAGGCCCTCCCCAGCCCTCCCCGACTCCGCCACCCCGCGGGACACCGGCCCGCGCCGTGGGGAGCCACAGGAACATCGGTCCCGCCGCTGGCGAATTCCCACCCGCAGCCCCAGGCTCCGTGAATCAGCGCCACTCTGCAAGCGTTTCAGAAACTCCACTTAAAAGTCCCTATCAAATCTTAATTTTATCCCTGGCCTCTAATTAACATCCTCCCTTCTAATTTATTCTGCTTTAAGACTCCAGCGCTTCCTTGGGAAGACTACATCAAAAGCCCCCTGCCAGAGCTAGCCTCGGTTTCTTTATAAATGGGACGGAACCATACACTCCAGGAAGACACTGGAGTGCAGGGAAGGGGCGGGGTCACCCTTGCCCCGCCCACGACCCCGCCCCTGTAGCCACCTGCGGCTTCTGGTTGGACGGAGATTTTTTCCTCTTAAAAAGAGCGCACATGTCTGACATAGCGATTCTTTCTCCATGAGTTTATCTGTAGGGAAGAATGAAAAATAATAGTAGGGACAGAAATATCTAATGGATGCCCACATTAGAACAGATGATCAAACGTGTTGGTGTGAGGATATTCTTTATAGTACTGTTTATAAGAACAACCATTTTGCCTGGCATGG